AAAAAAAAAAATTCCTCCCCAGCAAGCCCTTGTGGTGATTCAGTCCCTAACCAACATTTGACAAAAAAAAAATGTTAGTAAACATGCACCTCGCAATAAGATTGATTTCACGATAACACTCCAGTTGATTCAGTCCCTAACCAACTTTGGTCGACGTTAACTAGTCAACGTCCTTCCGGGCTGAGCTTAGATCCTGGGTCCACCACTGGGCACATGACCTATTTTCTTAAAAACAATTAAATGAATGAAAATTATATTGACACAATATTTCTTATTTATTTCATCATATTGTAATAACATTTTCAACTTTTGATCATTGTCGTACTTATTTTTTTTTGTATCCTCAAATTTTTATTAATCAGCAGACATTATCTTTCATGACGATACATATCCAAATATTTTGTCACACTTTATATTTAGTTTTTTATTTAGAAATACTATGGTCAAATGAATCTTTTTAAGCATTAATAATCATTTTTATCTTTGAAAACTATTATTTGAAACAAAATGTACTAATCAATGAAAAGTTGACGTAAAAGTGTCAAATGAGTCAAGTCAAATTGCTTGGCTTGCCTTTCCCTTGGTGGGGTGGAAGCCGGCTTGCTGCCGCTTGACTCGCCATATTTATTCTTCTACTTTTTACCAACTAAAATTGCAGGTTTCTATCAATTTAGTGATCCGATAAATTTGAGACTTAAGAAAGTTAAAAATATAAATATGATGATGAATAAAGATTGAACACCGTTTATACAGTTAAATATGGTGCAATAAATAAAATTATGGTGTCCATATAATTATCCTTAAATGAGAGAAAATTACAAAACAAATTGTCACTAGCAAAAATCCTCATCCCCAACAACTCAAAGTGAAACAAAATTCCTCCATTTAAAATTCCGGACGAAACCATTTAAATGGATCACATTGCATGTAAGTTTGGGGATGTGATTGTCAAAAATTAAGAATGGGAACTCAAGTAATAGTGGAGTTAATATTTGGGGACCTCATTTACCAATTTCCCTAATTTCTAAGGGGGGCCCCTAATTTTTATATTATTACTTTCTTTTTTAAAATTGGATCTTATCTATAATTTTGGTAACTCAGATAAGCGGGACCTCTAATTTTATATTATTAATTTCTTGATAAATCATTTTCTATTATTACTTTCTTTTTAAATCGCGTGTTTGGAAATTTTTTTAAATAGAACGTGTGATTAAAATATTTAATAGTCGTTATTTCTTTTTCAAATTCAATTATGTGATTTATTTCTTAGTTTTTACTTGATCGAATCATCTTATATTATTTGATTCTTATAATAAGTAGATACGCTTATTTTCATATATGAACTTAACAAAGTAACTATTAGATTCAGGGACTGTTGAATCCGCCCTTTTTGATCGGAGTGAAAATTTTGGCATGGGCAAAGAACTCCGTGTATCCGAGCAAGAAAAAGCAAGTCCAGCCCAGCGTTCTGAGAAATAGAAATCATCGTCACAATCCCCGTCCTTGTTATCGAACTTGATCTCATTTGGGATTGGAATCACTCTACTTTTTGAGTTCAATTGGCATTTTGACGATAATTGGATTTTTGTTTTTGATTTAATTATTTTATTTTTTTTATATGAAAAAAATGTAAAATTACCCTTTTACCCTTTAAAAATTAATCAAGATCTTTGATATTTGATCAACTAACAAGAAAAGTAAAAATTTCTGCTAATTTAAACTGGAGCTATGATTTTTTTAAAACGTTGGTAACTCCATTGACACAAATGAAAGGTTTGGACAAAGTCTGTATAAAGGTGAAATGTTTGATGTCGTGGCTGCAATTTTTCCCCCCTAAAAAGGATAATTTGTCATATTTTAACCAAAATTACGCACCCATTATAATGATTATTGAGTCTCCCTTCAAGAAAAATAATAGGTCCACGAAATCCAGATTGAAAATCATGAACATTTGAAGTCTACACGAGGCAATGATTACATAATTCCTTGCTCCCTTATCAAGAGATTTGAGGGACACTCGTATGGGGAAGCTATCAGATTTATAAATACACTGGTAGATGAACGTCCTTTACTTCACGGGCCAGATTTCCAGTTTAAATCAACTATTGTCGAATTGAGGCAAAGAAAAAAAAATCTACCTACCCCGTGCATTCTCCACTTGGCTCGAAAGCCTCTGCATGAGTAATGGTCGGCAAAGTGGAAGTAAAAATTTCAACTTGAATAAAGAAAACATTGACTAGAATCCCGAAAACTCTCAGAGTTCCTCAGCAAGGTTTGGCCAAGTACGGCAAATCGGGGTTTGAGATCAGGCCGAAAGGTATACTAGATGTACACAATATATACACATACATACAGAGATGATTTGAAGCAAGGCAGAGGAAGGAAGTAACATTCTGGTCCTTCTTAAATGGAAGCTTTGTGGGGTTCCTTGACAAGTGAAAAACAAGCAATTTACCTAAATATTTGAATAAACAACAAATATCTCCCATAACCTACAACAAATTTATCATGTTAGAGATCAATAAGCAATACAAAAAAAGCTTACAACCCTGATTCGAATGTGAAAAATTGAATGCTTTTTTACTTGCAATGTCTCCTCAATCATAAATCTTAAGCATAAACAAATCGTGCCACACGTGTTGGGAATATTCAACACCTTAATCAAGCCAGCGAGTAATACCATCTTCACCCACGGATGCAACAATTTCTACACAGACGTCCAACACAGCCTGTAAATTTGGAAGACTTCTGAGTATGGTAATATGTGTGTGTGTGAGTGTGTGTGTGTGAGAGAGAGAGAGTCATTCCCATCTGTTGATGGAACATTTATGTTTCATGAGCCAGCAGCAAAGAGCTAGTCCCCCGTTCAAAAGAAGTGAAGGAAAAGAAAAACATGTGATACTACATTGGTTGTGATGCATTCTTATAAACAAAGAAATGATTTCAGACGCAACAAAAGTAAACTACTTCGAAATGAAGGGTTCAACTCAAAATCTTCCAAAGAAGTAACAAAATGACTGAAAATTTTACAATATGATCTCGGTAGGCTAATGAAATTGCTTGTGTGTGTTCTTGGCTGCAGTGGCTCAAGTAAATGACTACATTTTGTCATGCTGCAAGCAAGCCTTTGAAATTTCAACTTCACATTTTTTGTTTCAAGAATTGATATATATATTCAAAAGTCTGAGCATTAAAGTTGTAATTTATCAATTGTACAGTACATCAGCGGTTGTGCCTGTTCATGACATGGCTTAATATTGCAATTACAGAGTGAATAAGAAACTTACCAGAGGATTTCTGCAATTCACCAGTCTACACTCTTCCAAAGAACCTTCAAATGTCCAGCTCTCCCAGACATCGAAGCTGTGACTAGCAAATACGAATTCCATCCTCCTGTTTATCTGCAATGTTAAAGTGAGATGTTTAGATAACAAAAGTTTTGATTTTTTTTTTTTTTTTTTGATAACCGTGGATGTCCGGGCCAACTTGTGCGCACCTCGACTAATTCCACGGGGCCCTGAAGTTTACGTCCGGATACTCACCTCAGTGGCCCTGAGGGGACTCGAACTGGTGACCACTGGGGAGCAAACCTAAGGTCTGACCAATTGAGCAACCCCTCAGGGTTGAAAGTTATGATTTTTTTCGAAAAGATGTATCTCAGAAATGATTTCATATGGTATTTAGTTAAGTCAGAAAACACAACAATATAATTCAACACAATTCTCTGGCTGTTTAGACCGAGTTCACTTGAAACAGTTCATTTGTGAACAACCTTGAATTTATAATAAACTATTATAATTACTTTATAATAAATTAAATCTTAAAAATACAACTTATTTCTTTACTATTTAAACTAATCTAAAAATATCAGTTTCACATTTTGAAATATTTGAATAATAAAAATAATCCAACACAATTCTACATCTGTCGAGAACAAAATGCAGACAATACATCTCATTTATACCAAAGGCATTTCAACTAACAATTTAAAACGAGTAACCATTTTCGTAGGAGCGAATTGTAAAAACTACCCTAATTCTCAGCTACATAATAATCAACAGGATCCTGAAGACCAAGAAAATGGAGGGCATGGTGGGATACTTCTCCACGACTCTCAAAAGAAAAGTACAATAAATAATAAAACAATTTCCAATGCTCCACCAATCAAATTCCAATATCATTACTGGTTTAGCAATAAGAACAGGACAAAGTCGTTCAGGCTTCATTATTAAACCATCTTAGATCACCACTGCAGCTATTCAGAAGCCAAAATTAAACTTTCAGCAACTTTTGTTTACATTATCCTAATCCTTCCCCTTGAAAATTTATAACCACATCAATAGCATGGGACTAATATTGCACAACTGAGACAGTGTGTTGTACCTGCAATAACTTTCCTCCAGCAGTAAATGATCTCAAACCAATTGTATCCTGCAAAAACAGAAATCAAATAGAATAAGCTTTTGTAATTTCTTTCTTCTATTCTTTTCGCCTTTCAGTCAGGATGTGTCAGTGTCAGTGTCTAATGTCTGGAAAATTCTTTAAATTATATCCAACAGCCAACAAGAATAAAGAATGTTGCCAGTGGACCAAATACACAATACTAAAGTTCTTATCAACAAACCTTGTTTCGGAACACAACAAGGAATTGGGCTGCTGGATCTCTTTTTGTTACATTCGACATTGTGTCAAGGAACCAACCACCACCTTTAACTCTTTGTTTTGAGACATGAAGTGCAGAGCGATCTCTTGCATGTAAAGCAATAACATAACCATCTTTCAGCAGTTCACCAGATTTTCTACTGATTTCAACGCTTGATTTAAAAAGTTGCTCTGAAGGTAATTCCTGAATTGAATCAATTGCCGTCTTCCTGTTTCTTGAATCTTCAGGAGAGGCAAAACGTGAACCAGAACTTAAAACTTGATCTGTGCCACTCATATTAGCATCATCTTCTTGATATGACGTGCTCTCTTTTCCAAAAGTCAAAGCATCATCTTTGTGCTTAGATTTTTGGTGGGAATGCCTCTTTTTAGCCTTCTTACTCGATCGGCTTCGCTTTACTTCAGATCTACTGGAAGTACTTTGTGACAAAACAGAACCTTCATTTTGAGTTGAAGTATCTTTTGATTGATTTACTAGCTTTTTCTGAGAACTATCTGCAGTTAAGTGAATATCTCCGATCGCTCGCTCACCAACAGTATCTTGGAAGGAACTCTCATTATCTTGATGCAATTGATGTTCATTGCCAACCTCACTTTCCTCCTCTTCTTCTTCATCATCATCAGATACTGCACTCTTGGGAATCACATTATCCACAAAGAACGTCTGAAGTATGGAAATTGCCTTTTCCCTTATTTCCATCCATACTTCTTCACTATAGTCAGCACTCCGAGGAAGAATCAAAACATTGGGCATCTCCCGCAACTGAAGTCACATCATCATATATATTATAATAAGCGTCAGAAGGTAAAAGAGGGAAAAACTGTAGACCCCAAAAAAATGTGAAACATAGTGCATTTATTACATGCAGAGGAATCAGTGATGTAAAATTAGTTTACAACAGAATCCATATTTCTGATCTACGCCTCTTGCAGAGGATTTACTTCCTAGATATTAACGCAAAAATGTAAAAGTTCTTTCCTTTCAGCCACTCCAGGATATTAAAGTTATCTAGTATGTTTGAGCGTCTTCACAAATAATGGCAGCCATATATAAGAGTCTCTTCCAACAACATCAGAAAAGCTAAAAGGTACAGTTCTGAATTAAATTTGATATAGAACATTACAATATGTAATTGCAGTTTTCTGTTTTCACTGTTCACAAAATACAAATGACAGAAAACAATTCATAGTAGCACCTTTTAGGCTTTTACTAAGTCACATTTCACATAGCCTGATAATTAGATCAACCAAAGAAATGGAATGAATTACTAAATTGGTCGAGAAAAAATGAATAGTGGTTCTTTTGAGACATTTTAGGATAATTTTTAAATGACAACAGTTATCATACCAATTAGAAGGAAATGACATTCAATAATAATGAATTTCTTCAGAGTAAAATTTATGTTTACATCTGTAGAGTTCTCATCTGTCCCACATCTCAGAATACAAGTTTCAGCAGGGAGGCATAGATTCATTTATGCAACTCGAGGTATAACTAATAACTGGGAGCGGGAGCAGGAGCATACAACTGATTGAAATTGAAACAGTTATTTCAATTCTTCTAGACATTAGACAATGATGGATTCATGAAAGACAACGCAAAAGTCATTTCAACTTCAAGAAAAAAAGCATTATATGTCTTGAAGCAAAAAAACTCAGTAAAATGCATTCCTACAATGCACTCATACCCTAAGACTACTCATCATACCCATGCTTCCATCCACTGAGGCCCTTCAGCACCATCCAGAGCACAGCCTGCAAGGGTGCCATCAATCAGAAGTTGTTTCACAGCACAATCATCCAATAGCTGGCTGCTACCAGTATTCACAAGAAATGCACCTGCATAAAAGTTTTATTACAACTGAGGACTTAGCATATAAATATCAAATGCTGAAATATCACACACAATTGCAAAGTAAAATTACCAGGCTTTATATGCTGCAAACAATCTGCATTGATAATCTGAATGGTTTCGTGAGTAAGTGCACAGTGTAGCGAAATAAGATCACTTGCAGCAAGCAAGTCTTTCAGAGTCTCCATTCTTCTGGCAGCAGGAGGGAATGTAAAGGAAGATCTACTCACTTTTCCACTTCCCTATGTACAGGCATGAGGAACGAAAAACTTCAATAAAGAGCAGCAAAATCAATGCAAATTATCCAAGTGTATGATATAACCTTCATTTGAGCAGGCCAAAGAAAATTTCCCAAATGACTCAAAATTCACAAGCAAATAACAATGTGCGCAGATATCAGAAACCTCCAATTGGAACAGTAATTATATAAAAATAGCAAATGAAGTACACATATTTTCACCTTTGAAAAATGCAAATGTAATAGAGTAGCATAGTTTTGATCCATACCTCATGAACATCAAAATAAAGAACATTCATTTTAAAGGCCAAGCTCCGAGTAGCCAGAGACCTTGCGGAGGCAGATCTGCCTACAATCCCCAACACGAGGCCGCGGCATCGCCTCATTCCACGGCATAGTGGCTGAACAGAGCCGAGCCACCCTGAGGCCGAGAGCGCATGCCGCGAAAGGAGGTGAGTACGACGGAGTAAGCCAAGAAACAGCGCCATGACTGTATCAGCAACCTCCTCAGCGCGGCTAACATCAACATGGATAAGCCCGCCAAGACCCAGATCAGCAGCGAGGGTAGAATCTACAGCCCTGTCGGAGGATCCGAGGCAAAGAATAAGCTGCCCAGGGCGTAGACGTCTCTGGGCGGCGCGTGGGAGGAAAGACAACGAATGGAGCAGCACCGCCATCGCAGACTCAATCTTCGCCTCGGCTAATCGGCTCAGAGGCACGTGCTCCACACGCGCCACACCTTTCAAGCATTCCTGTTCCAAAACCGTATCCTCAATGCAATTCAGCGTCACCACCAACGGCAACGACTGCGATTGATTTGTAGAATTGTTCCTTTGAGACATTGCTACAGCAGATCTCAAAAATCAATACACTCGCTATATATACATAAACAACTTATGGTTATGTATGTACTAAAGAAGAAGAATCATTTCACTTGAGTGAAGTTGAAGAATTAAATTAAACTTCCCGTGGTATTGGAGAGGAGCGACAGAACCCTAATTCTCTCCCTACATAGGCTCTGTAGTAACAGTCGAGTACCAAATCTTTGTAGGAATATGCTTTTTATTGTACAATCATGTCATATCTACATCTTGTTTGACACCTTTTTTTACATTGTGTGACAACATTGCATTGAATTGTTTGACGACACATATTTTCCGCCTATAAAACAAAGAGAGTGTTATTTAAAAACCTCAAGTTCCAAAACACTATTCACAAGCCAAATGGCCAATTAAGCCGTCGTTTCCAAGCCGAGCTGTTTTCGAGCCGAGCCGCACAAGGTTAGATATTTTTTGTGATTCTTTGATAGCTCTCCTATAAAAAATGCCAGTTTTCGAGCCGAGCCGCACAAGGTTAGATATTTTTTGTGGTTCTTTGACAGCTCTCCTATCAAAAATGCCTGGCTTTCCTATTTTCTCTCCTCCTAACCCTAATTGCTCTCGATCGAAACCCCTATACCTAAATCCTGACTTCTCCGTCCAAATCACCGATCTATTCCCTGACCGGCCACCCCAACATCTACGTCCAACGCCGATGCTGCAGTTCACATTTCCCCAAAAATTTCAAGAACAATGGATAGAAATCTTAAAATATCGATTGACACGCTGCCAATCAAACCCCTAGATGCTATTGAAGAAAACGGCGTCGAATGCTTTCCTTCGTATGTAGTATGTACTCTCATGGCAATGGCAAAGCCCAGTGGAAAATCTTCAATTGGTTCACCAAGAGCTCTCGATCATCATCGACCTCATGAATACTGTAAGGGCCTGTTTGATAGCCCTTTATTTTCCATGGAAGTTGGAATTGAAATTCCGTTTCTTACTTTTGTCGTGTTTGATTGCATTTTTTTTCCCTGGAATTGATTTTCCACCCTTTTCTAGGTACAATCCTTTGATGCACAAAAACGTGATTTTGTTTTCTCACCTATTTGGTGGGAAAACATTTTCCACC